CTACCAAAAATTAAAATATTTTGATATTCAAAAAATTTATTTTTTATATTTGAGTTATTTCAAAAAAATAAACAAATCAGCAAAATGTGAAGCACTAAATTTAAAGTGGCGCACAACTGGAAATAAGTAAGCTTTTTGACAAAATTAAACTCTAAGGTTTTTTTGTAATTTGATTCTATAATCATTTCATTTCTATCATAAATGTTTAGTTTGGTTTTATAAAACTGGTTTAAAACCATTCCATAAAAAAAACTTTATCTCAAAAGTAATATGCTAGTGGATCTGCATTTTAGTAGATGATACCAAGAAGTTTATCCCTAAAGACGTCTTTGCAACCGTCAAACATTTACTTTTTTACAAAAGGTGTGTCTGAAAAAGGATTTCAAAAATTAAGCAGTTATAAAAATGCTGCAGAGAAATATATGTAATTGACAATTTAAAATGCTAAAGAAGTTGAGATTGACCATGTCATACGACCGTGCGTTGTAATTGATAGAACATGACATAACATCAATTTGTGACACGTGATCACAATTCAGTGCACAGCTTTATGTGATCAGCAGAAAATATTTAGGTATTATTCTTCTAGATCACATTCCGAACTTTTAGAAAATAATACATTTAGGAATTGTGGCTGATTGAGTTTGAGCTTTAAAGTGCACTTCTTTTGACCCTTAAAACTTTCATGCAAAGCTGTAGAAAGTGATGTATTGAGGTTTAAAATGATGGATTTATTAATATTTTATGCATAAATAATTTTGTTTAAAATATTGTCTGAAAAATTTTGAACCACAAAAAATGCCACTTTCAAGCTGGCTAAATTATACTTTGTTTAAAATTTAGAAACTTTGTCCGAAATTTTAGCTTAAGTTACATACGGAAGCGCATTTGCCATAAGACAAATCTAGACAACTGTTTAGGAGCGCCATTTAAAAAGTGGATCTTGTTCTTTTTTTCATTGAAAAGTTGTAGTTTTTAGTGTAGAAATATATATTTTTATATTTTATTACGAACATTAAGGCGACGATTAATCATATGCCTAAGAGCACCATCAATCCAACGTCACAAATGCGGCACTAGTTATAGATGCGTAACCTAGTTAATAGGTAACTTGATTATGCTATGTAGTTTTGGAAACAACACAGATTTTAAAACACATTTTCTTAAAAAAAAAAAAGAAATACAAGGATTTTTAATGTTTTTAATTTAGTGTTAATATAATCTTTATTACCCACTAAAAAAAATTAGTGATGAAAAAAAATAAGTTGCTCGCAACCATAAACAACATGATCCCAATTACATATTTAAAATAGCTTCAAATTTGGAAATAATGTCTGAAACAACAATTAATGGTAAATTGTAATATCGACCTGTTGCAGAACTGATTGGATCTGGAATGACTGCAATAACATGCTGCTCCGGTACCCAACAAGTGTCCTTAGTGCTAGGCCAGTAAAATGACTGAGCCAAACCATGAGGATGCATAAAATCAATGAAAACATCTTTTTGTTCTTCTGAAATTTCACAAACATTTCCAATCCACCAATGTGCATCGTAGATACATGCAACAAAATTTCCGGGACTAAGATGAGACAGTGAAACTAATTTGGTTGAGTTGTTGTTGTAACTTTCATTAATGTTTGCAATAAAAGATGTATTGTCATTTGAAATACGACTTACACAAATCTGATTTTCATTTACTGGTACAAATTTGTGATTATCCCGGGTTCCTGCAATTGTGTTTCTAGTACTAAATCGTTTCTCTTGATTGTCTTTTACACTGTCTACTTCACCACTGGCAACATAAATAAATGAAATACCTGTAACACTTTCCTTGCAAAAATCATATAAATTTAAAGGGGTTAAAATTTGATTATGAATTGGCCGTTGAAGGCTGGCACGTGCTGCTAAACGCTTCACAGTTCCTCCAATTCCATCACAGGGAGATTTTCCATGACTGCTTGCAAAGAAATTCCATTCTGCTCTAATGCCATAGTCAGTATAATGGTAACATAAACTCATAAAATTTTTGAAGTTTTTGTACTGTGCAGCTGACCCATCACTGAAATAATGAATAAGTTCAAAAAACAAATAAGATTTAAGTTCAGCTATTAGTTAATCAAGAAATACATGAACAGAAATAGTATCATGATGCATGCAATCGCTTATAACACAATAGCATCTATTTTTAAGTATGTCATTAAGTTTGTAATAAACAACAAAAGGATGCAAAGTTGTTTGGCTGTTTTCCCAGTAAAACCCTTGAACAGCATCTTGCACAACAAACGAATAGTTTTCAGAAAAATCCATCAAAATGATCAACTCATTTGAATTCAGTTCATTTTTCAATGATCGCAAATAGTTGTTTTGGTTTTTGGCAATAAAATGATGCTTAGATAAAACTGATACTTTTGAAATTAATTCATCTATGAAGTCCTCTTCTGGTAATTGCAAGGATTCTAAAGTTTCACGATCTACTTTTATCCATTGCTTGAATGTTATTGTTTCATCAGATTCAAAATCTTTAAACTGCTCTTCAAGATAAGCCTTTAACATTTCAGTCCCTGGACATTTATTGAAATGATGAAGCATACATTCTTTAGATTCAATGTTACAAACTATTTTTCAATCAAACATTTATAGTCCACTGTAACTGGGCTACTTGCAAGCATTATTTTTATATTCTGGTGAATAGTACATACACAAATACGATGGGTGCCTGACAATCCAACAGTTATACACCATTTTGGACAAAACTCACAGAATTTAGAAAATCCAACTTCAGCTCCATTTTCTTTTTTATACTCCAAAAACAGTTCCTTTAAATTAACTAACAGTAGTTTTTTTTGCATATGCACTTTTTTAGCACCAATGCACACAGATACAAAATCTTTTTTTCCTGGACATGTTCTACTAAAAGCTTCGTGCTCGTAAAAATGCAAAATTTTTTCTTTAACATGGTCCTGCAATTTCTTTGCTGCATTTCTTTCTGGAAGTGCTAAGATTCCACTTTTTGCCTTTAACTTTTTTGCTGCTTTAGCCATTCTCTCTAATACTTTAAACTCATGACATATTTTTATTCTTGACCAACTGTCCGGAATAGGAGTTAAAATTTGAATTTTTTCACGTGGACTATTGATTGTTGATATTTTTTGTTTTAATTCTAATATCAAATCTGACCAGTCAATGCAATTCTCACACTCCACACTGGCACTGCCTCGTGGTAAGACATTATTGTTTGGAGATAAACCACTAACAGCAGCTATTTTCTCAGCAACTGTTATTTGCACTTTCCGAATTTTTCCTTTTACATAACTAGCATGATCTCTTTTACTAACACGTTTTATTCTTAAAGGTGAAATTCCAATATCAGAAAGGCTTGTATCAATATTGTCGGTTGAACATAATATATCATCTATGTCATCAATATTGTCAGTTTTTTCACTTGAAGAGCTTGTGGTTGAATAAGCTTTGCGGCAATTTGGACACAATTTTTGACCTGGACAAATGATTTTATTTGTTAATTTTGAAAGACAGTCTACAGTCTTTAGGTCAAACATCTCAACCCTTTAACTGAGCAACGATTGGCCATGCCAAAAGGATTTAAACAATAGCGCTGCAAATGCATGTATTTAACCAACAGTAGTGATTTGTGGTGGAAACAAATTAAAGTAATATTTTTGATTAAATTATAAGTTCGCCTGACGATCAAACTCTGTTCCTCGATCGAGAGCTCAATAAAACCCTTTTTTCGTGAATAAGTATTTAAATGACATAAACTTCCGTCAAATTTTCCAATACAACAAGTACTTAAGTTTTGCTCAACAGACATTTCAGGATATAGATATATTCAAAATAAATCTTGTTTTAATTTTAATTCTAATTTTCGTCTTCTAACAACTCTATTTGATTTTTAGATAAACTTCTGTAAATGAATTTAATTTAAAAATATACTTACTTACTAAATATAGCTTTAGACGGCTAAGTTAATTAACGGACCCTAATATCGATTTTAAAATATCTAAGACTTTGCAGACCTAACATAGCTCATAAAAACTAGATTATTTTCGTTCATAGAAAAAATCTCTCCAACATGGTTTTCATTGTTTCTAAAAGTATAAAATAAGCTCTTTCGAATGGTGCAATTACAAAAACAAAAAAAATTTGTCCACATTAAGTTTTAGGGGTTCAAATATATGTTGTTTTAGGGTGTTTCACTTTTGTCGCCATATTGGTCTCAGAATAACTTAACATGGCTATTTTTAACAAAGCTAAGTTTTTATCTATACCATTATATTGGTACGTAGAACGTTCAGAAAAAATAACAATACTGAAAAACATTTTATTCTGGAGATATGACCCTAAGAAAAAACAACAAAAGTTTGTAGTGTTGAATTTGTGACGTTATTTGTTGAACCATATACTAAAATCTAGGCATGAAATGAAAGTTGTAATAAATAATTTGCAATCTGCACCTTCGGTTTACTAAGAATCCACGTTTTTAAGATATATAACTCTTTCATTGCAAAAATATAAGACCCCAAAAATTGGATTTTAGCAACTGACTGATATTGAAATTTAGGGAGTCCTTACAAAAAGTACTATAAAATCCGAAATAACAAATATTTTGAGCTGAAACTTTGGCAATGTTCATGAAACACGTTTAACTACATACTGACAAAATTTTATCAAAATCTGAGATGGCCGAGTGGGGACCTCTGGACCACTTGGCGTGGAATGACCCTATATATATATATATATATATATATATATATATATATATATATATATATATATATATATATATATATTATATATATATATATATATATATACTGCGACCATTTTCTATAGACGCATGTGGATTATGTCTTAAAAACGTACTTAACTTTATATTTATAGTGTATTTCAATAAATTATAAATAAAGTATCAAAAAATAATGAAAATTATCAAAAAATAATATCAAGTTTGAAAAGAGGTCAATCATAAATAAATTAAATTCAAAAGATAGCTGACTATTTTCTATAAATGCAGTTCACATTTTTTAACTAAACTATCAAAAAAAAAAATGTTTTTATCACATTTTTAGTACTCGATTGGACTTCCTTTGCCCTCAATTACTTGATAAATTTGTTTTGGCATACTTCCCACCAAGTTTTTCAGCACTTTTGGCTCCATATCCTCCCAGCATTCTGATACCGCTACTTTTAGCTCACAGAGTTATATTGCTTCTGGTCAGCATATATACGTCTTACAATGATTCCCCAGATATTTTCAACAGGATTCAAATCTGGAATACGAGCAGGCCACCACATTTGCTCAATTTTTTTAGCTTCAAACCAAGCTTTAGTCTCGTTACTAGTGTGAATGCTGGCGTTGTCTTGTTGGAAAACAAACTTTTTGCGTCAATGTTTGTTTTTAAATGGAATCAAACATGATTTTAGCACATCAATGTATTCAGAACTTTCCATTTTGCAAGATGTAAATGCTAAATTTAACTTTTCTGTTGCACAAAACCCAAGCCAAACCATCAAAGATCCACCACCGAAATTCCTTGTTGAAAAATATTTGGGTTCTCTCCTCAAATCACGCCATTAGCCATTAAAACCATCAGGCCCATCAAGATTAAATTTTCTCGTCTGACAAAATCACCTGGTATTGAAAACAAAAATATTCAGCTATAAAGACATCTTACATATTCATGAGAATTTAATCTAAAATTTCTTACTTGTTCCCAATCGCGTGCCATGTTTTCGCGGGCGAATTCCATCCGTTTCTGTTAGTGAACGGGCTTCAAACTTGGTGCTTTATTCATTTTTGATCGTACAATGTGTGGGCTGTCTTTAAGAACTTTCCTAATCGTCTCCTTGCAAACATTTAAACCCATATCTGACTTAATTGTTTTCAAACTTTTTGATGAATTTGATGCGAGTTGAACAGTTCTGCGTTTTTCACGACTTGAAACCTTAGATTTCTTTGGTTTCTTCTTGATTGTTGCATAATCTACTGGATTTTTCAAGAAATTACGGATAACGTGATCTGATCTCTTCAATCTTCTAGCAATTTCTCGATTTGGAACTTTTTCTCGATGAAAAGCCAATATTTGACCTTTTTCAATATCGGTAAGGACCTTTCCTTTCGGCATTTGGTTTAGTTCAACTTAATTTCGACTCACAAAATAAAAAATACCACAGAATATTAGAAATTTGCGAAAAAACTCGTAAAAACTTTAGTGCGTCTATAGAAAATTGCCACGTGAATATTAAAAATTTAATTATTTTAATACAATCAAGACAATAAATAATCAGATGCATAATGGATCATCTTTTTCTTACGTATACTTATTTAAAAGTACCGTTAGAACAATTTTATTACCACTGTAACACTGTAAATCCGCTAAATTCTACATGCGTCTATAGAAAATGGTTGCAGTGTATATATAAATAATAAAAAATATAAAAAATAGATATAGTATATCTTTTTTATTCATATAAGCATAACTAAACTAGACATTCTTAAATAATGTTTTATTCACAATATAACAACAACTCAATTAACTTTAGAAAGAAACTCAAGAAACTTTGATTTTTATTCTAAGTTATTTTATTGAAATCTTTGTAAGTTTAGTAGCGGCTATGCAACGTTCATACAGTTTATAGTAAAATATTGACTTTTACAAAACGACTAATAATTCATCTTGCCCCGTTCATCTTGCCATATGTATATATATATATATATATATATATATATATATATATATATATATATATATATATATATATATATATATATATATATATATATATGTATGTATATATATATATATATACATATATATATATATATATATATATATATATATATATATATTATATATATATATATATATATATATATATATAATAAAAAATATAACAAATAGATATAGTATATCTTTTTTAATCATATAAGCATAACTAAACTAGACATTCTTAAATAATATTTTATTCACAATATAACAACAACTCAATTAACTTTAGAAAGAAACTCAAGAAACTTTAATTATTATTCTAAGTTATTTTATTGAAATCTTTGTAAGTTTAGTAGCGGCTATGTAAAGTTCATACAGTTTATAGTAAAATATTGACTATTACAAAACGACAAATGATTCATCTTGCCCCGTTTATCTTGCCCCCTAAGATACAAAATCTTTAAAATGATTCAGAAAAATACATAAACAAGGTATCATAGCTCAATAACACTTCTATGGGTTCTAAATTAAATAAACTAAATGAAAAACTCTCGCTGACCTTTAGATGGCGATGTATTTATGCAATTAATCAAATACAAGTGAATTTTTTTTTTTTTTTGAACACCGGAAAAAAAATTTTAATACTTATCTTTTTTCTATAAATAATATTTAAAAAGAAAGCATAAATAAATTTAGCATATACAATCTACTTATATCTTAGCTACAGTCAGCTTTTATATATAGCCAAGGTTTGAAGATAACGGTAAGTTTTCATCTTACCCCATTCGTCATCTTACCCCAAGTTCTCCTATGTTTTTAATTAATGTGAGCAATATGTAGTAGATTATTCCCACCGCCTGAATTATTCAATCCCCCAATGAAAAACTCAAAACGAGATTGCGCTTTCGGGTTATAACTGTTAGAAGTGTACCTAAAACGTCCGTATTACCTTGGTAAACATAAACAAGGAGAAAAAAACGTTTAGAGGACAAGAATTCTAGAAATAAAGTTTACATAAAAGTAATATAAGAAAGACGATATAAGAAAGCGTCGTAGTGATGGAAAATAAAAAACTATAAACTAATTAGTTATTTATTTACATGAAAATGTTTTACAAATACTTTTATTACATAACAGTATATGTAAAAGTAAAATTCAGACAGATATAAATTATATCTGTCTGAATTAATACCTCCACTTTGTAAATCACTCAATGTAAGATGGTCTGATCTTTATTAAAGAATAATGATTGAAATTCTACAGCTAAAAAATAATTAATAATTAGTTGATAGTTGTATATTTTCTGTTTAAACTAACTGATTAAATTAGTTCTATAATTATGTAAAAATAATTTACAAATATCTGAATTATACCCTCCCCCCGAGTAAATTGCTAAACTTGCCTCTGAATTATCTTCTTCCTCCTAGTTTATCATTTAATAAAAGATGGTGTGGTAATGGTATTGAATGATGTAATAAATAGTGAATTTTTAGTTATATATTTAAATAAAAATACTTTACAATTACATCAATAGGTTTCTAAATTATTACCTCCCCTCAGTAAATCGTATGATGTAAGATGGTGTGATAATGGTGTTATAACTTATTGATATATTGTGCAACTATATATCAATAAGTTATAAAATTATGCAAAAATGATTTACAAGTATTTTATATATTACAAGTACTGTTTAAATCGTCACATCCCTCTAAGTAAAACATGGAATACAGAATGTAGGAAACTGGTATTGAATGATATAAATTATTACTATATTTTACTTTAATTGGGAATTTCTATAGCTTTTGATATTTAAGTTGTATGACTTTTTTTTTTTACTATAGGAACATAGATTAAAAGTTTTATTTTTACTTTAATTAGTATAGTTATTAGTCCAACATATCATTATTATTTTAGCCTGATTAAATGATATTGTAATGTTATATTGGTATTTAATTTTTTTCTAAACCTACGCATATCAATTTTCTGTTATATGTTACATAATTTTCAATTAAGAATAACTTTGTTCTCTGGTCACAACATCAAACTGTTTTTTTTTGCTATTGTTTCGTTATGGAAGCTATTAAAGTACCACCACTTATATTGAACCATCAGGCCTTAATAGTCTTAAGAGAAGGAAGAAATATTTTATATAGGTGAAGGGATTGCTAGATAAATTATAGTATTTGGACAGATGTCTAGTATTGAGAGGTGGTATTTAAAAGGGGAGTTATTGTTTTTGTATTGTTCTAAAGGTTAAAGTTTTATGTGTCTTTATTTGTATGAATCTGTGTATTAAAGCAACAAACACAATAAGTCTGTTTATTTTTATGCAACCCGAACACCTTCAGCCTCAGATAAAAAATAGGGAACATCTAATTAAACCTATATGAAATTATAAGATAAATAAACAAAAACATGAAAAAAATCAAAACAATTATGAGCAATTGCCATTGTTGTGGTAAGCAAATTGTGCTACAAAATTAACATAATATAACAAAATTACTCAATTCTTTAGACATAAAGTACAACTATAAAGCAGAAGTATTACAACAAACAACAAAAACAGATATATATATATATATATATTATATATATATATATATATATATATATATATATATATATATATATATATATTTATATATATATATATTAACAAATTTATATAATTTATATCTGTCTGAATTTTACTTTTACATATACTGTTATGTAGGTACGTGACATGAAAATTTTAAATTAATTAAATAGTAGATTGTTATATATCATTAGAAAGGTCTTTAATTCAATTTTTCAAAAGTGAAAAAATTATAAAAATCGGACAATTCCATAAAAAGTTATACTTGATTAAGTGACGAATTATTGATATATGGATTTCTTGATAAAACTGTAGCAAAAAAAGTTTTTTTTTTTTACTAAAACTATCATAACTTAGTCAATTCTCATCAAAATCTCTATATCTTGGTATCAAAAAATAGGTGCAAGAATAACCTACAAAATTATAACAACCTTGAGCAATTTGGCATAAAATAAAATGACATTTTCTAAAACAAAAACTGCTATAATTTTATATATTTTATTTTAATATAACATTATTTTTACCATATAACAGTAGTACTAAAACAAGATGCATCCAAGTATTTAATTTTGAAGAAGGGAGTAGCGGTTACCCCCTCTGACCTATACAAACTAAAAACAATTTAAAATTACGTTTTCTAAAATAAAAACTGATATTATTTTATATGTTTTATTTTAATATAAAATTATTTTTACCTTATTTGAGTAGTAGTATTACAAGATGCATCAGTCTTCATATTTTCTGAGGGAGATGTCAACCCCCCCCTCCATCCTAAAAATTTTAATTACTTTACTAATCGCTGTAGATTTACGTTGCAAGTTCCACTACTTGCTGTACATATATTTTGCAAGTTCCACTAATCGCTGTAGATTTATGTTGCAAGTTCCACTACTTGCTGTACATATATTTTGCAAGTTCCACTAATTGCTGTACGTTTATGTTGCAAGCTCCACTACTTGTTGTACATATATTTTGCAAGTTCCACTACTTGCTCTACGTTTATGTTGCAAGTTCCACTACTCGCTGTACGTTAATGTTGCAAGCTCCACTACTTGCTGTACATATATTTTGCAAGTTTCACTACTCGCTGTACATTTATGTTGCAAGCTCCACTACTTGCGGTACATATATTTTGCAAGTTCCACTACTTCCTGTAAATCACAAGTTCCACTATTAGCAGTACATTTACAACGAAAATTCCACTACTTGTTTAACCTTTATTTTGCAAGTTCTAATTCTTGCTGTATATTAATTTTGCAAGTTCCACAATAAGATAGAATAAGAAATTACGAAAATACTAACTCGCCTGATAAAACATCAGCAACCAGCTGGAATTTTTTTATGCTATGGTCAACAGCTTCTGTATAAGTTTCATCTGGAGCCCAGTAAGAAATTGTGTAAAAGATGCCTTTTGTTGTCTTTTTAAGTTTATCAACTCTGCCATTATACAAGATCGTCATTGTTGAATCTGTATCATACCATTCGTGGCAGAGATTCCTCCCAACAATTCTTCACACATAACATCATTTAAATCATCAATTTGCTTAGTAGACAAGTTTTTAAATAAATTTTGAATTTCACAAACAGGTAGTGGAGATAATTGTCGCTCTAACCTTCTTTTTTCTTTTTCATCTAATTTTTGGCGTTTCACTGTCTGCCTTTTAGAAATTTCAGCTCGAATTTCAGCATGCTGAAGTTGAGTTTTCTTTCGTTTTAAATGCGCTTCTTGAATAGCAATTTCCATTTTCCAAAGACTTTAATGCTGTTCGACATGAAATAGCAATTGTGTCAAGAAGGTGTAATTGTGTCAAGAGGGTGTCTATATTATGTAGCCTTGCACTGGCTGTCTCTTCTTGAAGTGTTTTTGTAATATTAATCGAAAAA